ACATGAAAATGCACCGCATGAAATCGCTGCTAAATTTCTTTTGCATCGAGGCGAAGTGGCAGCCAGCACTCCCTTCGACAGTGCTCGTTACCTTTCTCGCCGGTACCAATCACTCACGAACCGACGAGGCGTGCAAGTTAGTAGACCTGACAAGCAAACGAACCTCCACAGCAGCAGAGCAATAAGCCCGATGAGGCACAGTGTGACTGCTAAGCTCATCACTGCCTTGCTCGGCTCAGTCCAATCTTCCACCCATTGCGATATCCTGAAACAGTAACTTCAATTAATCCCAGAACGAGAGCTGCAATTACCGTGCACCGTGAAGTACATCCCTGGTGAACTGAACAACTTCATTCGCACCGACTTCGAAACCATTGCCCACACGCAGCACTCTTCTTCCCTCCCCTCACCTCTCATCACCCGACGTCTATCCAATTTTCAACGGCTTATGGCCCACGTTAGAAACGGTACCCGATTTTTATGCATTTTTGCAGGTTTATGCAAATGCAAAAACACATACTGTTTTCACTCCTGGTGGTGTATGTGTGTGTCTGTCTGTCTGTCCAGGCATTTTAAGTCGACGACAAGGCAAGTCCTGATGCTGAGTTCTTGCCAGTAGATTTCCTAGCCAACTGCCAGGAACTTCACGCAACTTTCATGCACGCCTGAGTCTCATATACGGACACGTAAAAACTTTGGCGGGAAAACTGATAACTCGGGAACCAGAGAAGCAGAAATTTTGCGGAATGTTCCCTGTCCACGTGAAACTAGAAGATTTCAAATTCAGATCCTAAACGCGTTTGTTTCTCACATACGGAAGCGTGAAAGCTTTCGCGGGAAAAATTCTAACACGGGAACCAAGTAAGCCAGGAAGCTGAAATTTTGGGGAGATATTCTCTGCCCACGTGCGACCTGATTTCAAATTCAGTCCCAAAGTAAGCCTGGCTCTCACGTACTGCCACATGAAATTTTTGGAGGGAAAGCTGATAACTCGGGAACAAAAACAGCCCGTCCATTAACAATGAATGGTCATTCATACCATCCCACTTCCACCTGTCACATTCAAACTGCCGCCATCCGCCGTGGGGTAGCCCTACCTGCTATGGGGAGGAAAAATTTGTTGCGGCTTGTGTATGAGACGAGCCGAGCCGAGCT